ATTTAAATAGAAATTTACTTGTCTAAACATTTGTTGCACATTATCATAAGACTAAATGACAATATCGTATAAAACGGAAATGCATTTTATTTTATTTTTAGTAATTAATTGGAAATCTTTAAAATATTTTATATTTTATATAATAATATAACAACTTTTTTATAATTTACTGATTAGTAAATATAACAAATATAGTATTGATAAGTAAAGTACAATTAATTAGATATTGTTAATTAGGGTATTAAAAATAGTTTTTATTATCAATTTAATTAACAGTCATTTTCCAAACTTTGTGTAAGACCACTAGTAGAGGGAACGTCATATACAACGGGATCAATCTTAACGTAACCTTCATTAGGCTTATCGTAATCTTCAGTAATCTTATCGTAATCTTCAGTAATCTTATCGTAATCTTCAGTAATCTTATCGTAATCTTCATTAATCTTATCGTAATTCTCATTAATCTTATCATAATCTTCATTAATCTTATCGTAATTATCATCATTCACTTGAATGTCATCGTAACCCAAATCTAAAGCATTTTCTTTATGAATCCGTTTTAACCTCTTATGTCTGAAACACACGTAGATTACGATTACAACCAAAATCAATACAATACTGATTACTGTCATAATTATTAACTTTAATGGACCCGAAAGGGAAGTCATGTTCTTTATACTCGCCATCGGATTAATGTCAGACATTATAGCCTCGCAAATCTCTGTCGCACTTTTAGGGCTATCCCTTAATTCATGTGTCAATTGCACCATTCTCATATTTTCAACCCATTGATACATACGCAAATAATCCATTATAAGTGCTGGACAATTTTTACCGTTAAAATTATAATCATGTTTTGTATGCAGTTTAGCATTCATAAAAACTCCAAATTCTACGAATAACGTTTCATAATCAGGCACATCCATTTCACTAATGGACGCATTGTCGAGCCTATCAAACGTGATGAGGTGGATGTCATCGAAACTATACTCCACGTGAGTTGCGTTCCAATGCGCTGTATACTTGTGAAATTGATGCAAACTGAGCGTGGTGTAATATTTGTCCAAAACTCTCTCCACTGTCTGTTCCCGTGCCGGTGACAGCAAAAACTTGTCGGATGAGCCGTCAATCTTTAAACTACGTATTTGACTTGCAGTATGCGACTCGTTAGCACCTTGGTCATTGTCACGCACCAGATACACAAACGTATTGGCTGATATACTCCTCGGGAGGGCTAACCTCATCTCTAGGCGCCCGCGTGTCATTACATTCAGGGTCTGTTTGGTCAACACGTGTCCCGCGGAAAGCATGTGTTCACCGCTTGTTTGATAGCCACCTACCGGTCCTATCAATACTACCATACAGTCGTCCCTTATTGGTAAATGTTTGAACGTCCTGTTACAATTTGGTTCGTCAAAGAACCTGGCTATTATTGGTACAAATATCAGAATAAATACCGTAATATTCATGTAAATAATCTCATTAATTATTTTGGTTAAAACAGGACATACTGTTACACCCATTGTATGTGTAATAATTCGATTTGTCGATTTCCAGGTACTTTTTATTTAGTTCATGTTTCCATAACAGTTTCCACTGACCACTAACTTGATGATCAGTATAAGTATGTTTTACAATTATCAAATACACTAAATTATATAAAATTGGTTTATACATATTTAATTAATAGTTACAGGAAATTAAAATGTTGAAAAGTGTGATAAAAGTTGTATTTAAATAAAGGTTTTCATATTTTACAGTATTTCTTGATAATAAGGATATGAATCAAGTTTTTATATTATATAAGTGTAGATCTATTTTAAAATCTACATTTTCTATAATTATAAACCTTATAATGAATTTTTATTTTCCAGATTTTACTTAGTTTCACATAATAGGATGAAACATGTATTTTATTTTATTTAGCTATTGGGCGAACATATTATCAGGATAAGTTTACAATATTAATATAAAATGAAACCCAATTAGAGTGAATTGTTGTTAAAACTTTGACTTTTATAATTATAACTTAATTTTACATCCATTATATGAGTAATACTAGGATTTGTTCATATCCAGATACTTTGTGTTTAACTCTTCATTGAATAACATTTACCAGTGACCAGTGTCATTCAGCTTTGATGTGCTTGATAATGATCAGGTGAATCAGACAATAGTTTATTAGTTTATACATAATTATTTGTTTGTGTGCATTTTTATTTGCATTTTATTACTAAAAGCATATAAAAGTTACAAATTATATGAGATTTATAATTCATTTTAATGTAATTATCAAAAGGATATGCATAGGGATTTTAAAAATATAAATTACAAAAATTTCAAAAAAGGTTTAAAGCAATTAAGTTAAAAAATTAGTTGAAACTACTCTAAATTTATAGTTAAACGTCTAAATAATTAAAATTAAATAAATTACAATGCTTAAATTGGATAAATTAGGAGTATAAGGTGCTTAGAAATCATATTACATACAGAATTCAATGAGATTATAATCAATATTATCAAAATACATTATCAATGCTAAAATATAAATTACATAAATTACTGTAATTTTTAATCCCTATAAATAGACATTTTTATAAATTTTTCAGAAATCACTTTCAATATTTAAAAATTGTTTTATTCAACGATTAATTAATTTAACTTTTACTTTAGTATAAATGTATTTTGCTTAAAACTGTAGTGTATCACCAAAGTGGTCAAATTAACAGTAAATCTAATTAACTCTTATCAGCCCTCTCTGTGAGCCTACGAGTCCTGTCTTCAATGGATTTCACTGCCATTGAGTTGATTTCGTCGAAATACGGCATCTCTTTGGCGGTGATCTCTGAATACCAGTGCCTGACGTGCATATAGTCGGCCAACTCTTCGGTGGTTACCGTCAAGAACTGCGGTATAAGTGAGAGGTCGGCGATAGTCAAGTGTTTGCCGGCGCTGTAACCGCCGTTTTTGCCGATCATAGAGTCCAACACAGTTAGGCTGTCCTTCAATGTCGTCAGTTGTTGTTCAGTAGGTTTGGCCCCTTTAGTAGAGTTATTTGTAACCAGTTTTGTTATCTATGAATAAAATATACAATTAATTGCAAATAAAATCCAAATATTAATCAACTCTAACATAATATCAATAGTAAAATGGTATTACTTTTAATGTACAGATAATCTATAAATAGATATATCAAGGAATCAATTTATAATTAAACCTGTTCATATAATTAATTGGATACAATACCCGAACGGCTTTAAGTGCGGGCGCCAGTGTGCCTAGGTCAAAGTCTAGCACCATGTCCACTTTGGCCCTTTCAGCCGGGTCTGTGGGATAAAGTTGCGAATTTCGGCCGTACTTGTTGCACAGGTATTGAATGATTGCACGACTTTCCCAGATAACTACACCCTCGTCCTCGAGCGTGGGAAGGGTATGTCGTGGGTTCAGCTATGAGTTCAATACATTTAATTCAAATTCTTTAGACTCAACACTAAATTCTGGACTCACTTTAAGGAATTCCGGTCGCAGTTGCTGTTTGTCCACTAAATCCACGTTCACTTCGTGTAAATCAATGCCCAGATGTTTGGCCACAAATAGGACTGACCGACAGAAAGGACTCGAATAATTCAAATATAATTTAGTTGTCATTTCTTATGCCAATCAAGAATTTCAATACAAATAAAATGCTTGAAAACTATGTGAATCTCAATATATGTTTCAAAAATTCTTGAAAAATAATAACTATTTTTTGCAAACACTTCAGTGAAACACAGATTTTATGTTTTATGATAAGTGTTTGTAAACGTAGTTATCATTTATTAATAGAGTTATAAAAACCTATTTCTAGGCATATGTTCAATACCAAGGGGTATAACAGGTCTACCCCTACATCTTATTACAAACTAAATGTGTTGTAACTGTAAATAGAAGTGCTTTTCTAACCATTTTCTTATCCGTTGGTATAGTTTTACTGATAATAACAGCCAAATGAATGACTCATTAAAAACTTATTTCATTACTGAATTAATATTACATTTAGTATTTTAATTTATAAATAATTAAAAACAAGTTATTACTTTTTAAACTTTTGATACTAATTATAGCTATTTAAAAGCATTTCTAGTTCACAAATTGTAAATCACATTTAACATTAACTTGTAAAGACATTAAATTTTATTCTGTGAATATCGTATTAATAAATAATTTATCGCTTTTCTGTTTATAATGTCTAGTAGGAAGTTTATATATAAATTATCTATGTTTTGTATTAATGAACTTTTAGTACAACTAAACTTGTTCTTATGTTTTAACACAAGTATTATTTTAATTATGATTATTTGATAACAT